GGTTATTTCATTCCAGGCGTTTTTCCATATCATCGTAGTGTTATTTTGGATCAGTTCCGGTAACTACCTAAGCGACACTATGCATATAAACATAATTAGTTTAATACCAACTTCAAACCTTTTGTATATATTTACATGTAAACCTGACACGTTTGACGTTGACGTAAAATTGGGAAGGAATAGTGGCGTTAGCACCGAACGTCAGTCCCGGCGAGTACTCGTACATCCAGAATCCATTGCCACTGCTACAAAGCAAATATTCAAACTCTCCTCCCAAACTCAATTCAATATAAAGAATAAACAAAGCATATTCCGCACGTGAAGAATACACCGATCACGCCGTCCGACATAGCAGGGCAACGTGGGACGTTGGTGCTTAGTTTATATTAGCGGGCAGCGTCTCTGTCTATGTTCGCTATAAATAGGGTTCCATTATGCCTATAGACTGGCGCCAAAAGAAATTATTCTGAGATTTCAAACGCATGTCACAAGCCTTTGCAAACACCATTCCATGTACAAATGTAACTTCGGCCTCAGTTGCAGCTCTAGTGTGTGTGGTGGAAGTGGGATAGCTACTTGCAATGCTGGTTGGGATTTGAGCCATACAACCTCACAGTTTCCTACCCACCGTTCTCTTCCCCGCTCCCATCGCCAAACCCCAGTTTCAGGGCAATTACATACGATAACACTATGTAGTATGGACGCATGTACATCCGTGTGTAATGTCAATAGTACCTTACGTCAGACATTGTTAAATAGGAGTGTCGCTTTCTCAAAGGGTCCAATGGTGTATTAACTTGTCTGCATACCTTCTTTAATCTTGAAGAGACATTTTAAAGAGTTCAGAAGCAATTGTTTAGCTTTCAATTTCCATTGGCAATAAACGGACTAGACGGATTAATCAAATTAATAAATGTAGACTTGACAGTATCACATTTCGATAAGATAGTCTCCCATTATCCCTTGTGTATTCGCCGCTACCACTACGCGCGTCAGCTCGGATACAATGCCTGTCAAACGCAGGTCAAAATTAAGTCAATATAGTGTCAACGATCCCGCTGTAATAGAACTGATCTCTCCACGTATACACTGACAACGCATGCCTTATCTAAACCCCGACGAAATTATCTTTCTTTTGAGCATTCAGATGAATTTAATTCCGCAAACCACGATGTCAGTAAGTCACTCAAAGAGTGCTTTCTTCCTTCACTCACGTCGTGTTCTCTTCAGAGAGGAACTCAGGTATAAACCTACTAATTAATTCGTTGACTGGTTTATTATTCCCCTGGCATCGCGACTGTGTTCCTCGTTTCAGTTGCCTAGGTTAATGATGTTTTGGCCTGTTTCTGTCTTGAACGTGGGATACATTGTGTGTTTCTATCTACTCGGGATATATTGCCTGGGTGTTCCAGCACGTACCGACAAGCAACTATTTCAAACTGTAGACAGCTCTCGGCAAGAATTCCTACTACACTACACTCTGGCTCATCGTAAACATGTTTTTTATGTTTGGGTGACAGTTTTACGGTGTTCGAAGGGCGGCCTGTGTATTGGAAATTCTGTCGGTTATTAGTGGCGATTAAATCTCGATTTCTGGAGAAAGAACTTCCGACTCATGTCCAATGTTCCATGAAGGGTGTAATATGTTTTTGTGAATGCAAATTTCTATTTAGCGAAGCGCCGTTTACCATCGTCCTGTGGCATTTCATATGGCTTCGACGCTTTCCACATTCCAAAGTAAATTGTACAGCTTGTATGTGCCAGTTCTCATAAAATGACATGAGTTGTTAAAAATAAGAAATATTTAGAACATTGTATACAATTTACATCACAAAACGAAACAAGATAACTCATAAGAGAGAAATTTGGTTTGGCCATAGATATGTGCTTAATAGCATTCTGGAAATAACTCTTTGACTCCTGGAAAACTCTGGAACCATTACGTGAACGTTTTATGATAGATAATATACATCAATATTTCATTACCAGTGTTCAGAAGCTATTTCAATCATTCAACTTCGTACATTCTCTAGGACTTTTTCTTTTTCTTTGAAATCCTTCCACATGCCACTCAGTGACACACAAAAGCCTTTGTCAAGTCAACCTTAGAGAGGTAATGTTTAAACTCTCTCCAAATCTACATACTTGCAAAACAGACGTGGTTTCCCAAACCATTACACTAAAGATTGGCGAGCTCGGAATGAATTCCTTTAGTGAAAAAAAGATCTTGAGACGGATTAGCAAACGTGAAATAAATAAAACATCTCCACAATGAATCTCAATGACAACCGTTGTACAAACATTATCGGTGGCCGGGGAAAATATTGTAAATACTGAAAGTAAAGGCTGTTTGGTTGTATATGAAGCATGTGAAAGGAGGGTCTTATTTCGGATCTAGATGGCGGACGTACACCCAGTCCGGGTGGTGAGGCGTGACACATCGACACGTATTCTTCCGCGACGGTTCTGTGTACAAGTAGACAGAAATTTAACAGTATATGTAAACATAATAATAGTTCTACCATCCCAGTCGTCTTCGAAGGCCACGCCAAGATTCCATTATGCTGTCAAGCAGAATCTTACGTTACTACGTATTAAGGAATTTGAAAGTGATGAACCCGTTATACAAACAATATGGCATTAGTAATGCATGATAACGATACCTCAGTGACATCATGACTGGTTGCTAGGTAACGATATGACGTAATTTGACGATAATTACTGATTGGTTCCACCTGTTACTGTTAACCAATCGCCTCAATGACTTTCATAACCGTGGAACGACATCGTAAAACTGCCTCTCCAACTCTAATTACGCGCAATTAGACCCAGGTAGCTATAATCCCTTTGTCTGCGGGTTATATTCCGGAGTACTATAAAGAATCACCGCTCATAAATTATGTCACTGATGGCAATAATAGCTATGTTTTCAGCCGTGTACATGATGTTTTGCACGGTTGTTAATTTCTCCGAATCTGTTGTTGGAGGACCACATACTTGGGACACGGTAATAAACACTCACAGGCTCGCGATGAATCAGTGTCACCAAGAATTGAACGGTCGTCTATTCGTCGAGGTCTGACGTTTATAGCTGGTTATGATTCTTATTATTTGGCCCGAATCGTATTTTTACACTTTTATGGCTTGAACAAAAAATACCATCTTTAAGAAAGTCGTCTGTGTCGCCACAACAAAGAGATTGCATACCAACAGTATCGATGCTCACTCCAATCTTGTCCGACGTTCATTCTTAATTTGAATCCTATGCGCAAGTTCCTTGTACAGTTGACCTATCCGATGAAGGAAATCTAATCGAACATGCCACTCCACTTTTAGGAAAACGTGAGATAAAAGCAGCTCGTTACTGCTGAGAGAGTGTTTGTATCAGTCCGACAATTACTTTATCACTGGTGACAGTTTTATTATTTGGCGGAGAGCGGCCAATTTCTCGACAATTAAACACTGGTCTGTTCGTTTGCCACAACTCTCTCGGGTCAAGTTTCGCTGTAAGCACGTTTACGATTATGATAAAGGGATTTGTTCTACGGTTGAAGTTTTCATGACTTCTGCTGTCTGAGATATATTTTGTTTACATTTCATCCATTCATCCCACTGAGTGTAGATGCGGGAAGTTAAGACGTCGTTACTTTCAAATTTGACACGTGTCATTTTCAGTGATTATTAAGTTTAGGATGCACATGTGAAATCAACATTTGACAACCGATAGTTGTGGATAACAGCTCAATGTAAGCAACAGCTCTTGTAAATAGTTGTGTTTGTGGGCACATCTGTTACATAAGACAGTGGACATCTGTGGCTAAAAGATGTACATTACAGTGACACTTCCTGCCAATCAAAAATTGTGCACGTGCAATGTACAACTCCCACGTGTTACATACCAGATGTTTCTCACAAGTAACTTATACGTGATTATTAAGTTAACATGACAGTGACATTGTATGTTTGTAAATTAGTCGGTATTTGAAACATTTCATATACTTACACAAAATCATTAAGAATGTGTATTTAAATGTGTTTTAAACCAATGAAATCTTTACAAAACCCTATAATATATTTCAAAAATAACAAAAAAAGAGAATAAAGTTGTCTGCTACCACACCAGCTTTTATGGCATGGAGTTTGACTCAGAGAAGCAAGATATGTTGTAAATCTGATAATAAAAACAAACCTAATCTACTCGCATAATGTTTATAACATACTTTGAGTATAATTTGGTTTCCACGGATTATAGTGCAGTACAAATTACCGAATTAATCATGCAACGAAAATGACAGGTTGTCAGCCTTTGGGAGAATAGTATCGGCTGTCATTAACCAACGCGTGTGCGGTCCCAAGAACCCATGGTCCCATATCATAGACTGCATCGAATTCCTCGAGTCATTTTCGTCCCCTCTGATAGCTCTGGGGTAAAGCCCATAAAAAGGATGAACGTACAAATTTGACAGCGATGTTATTTCGACTTTACGACTTTCGTGAAAGGTGTAATCAATGGTATCGCCCGTAAAGCCAAATGGCCACACAGATTTGAACTTGGACGTGGTATGCATTTCATGGCTGGGCTGGTTCCAGGGACAGTAATTCTTCGTCTGGGGTGTAAAATTCAGACAGGGACACATACCTAATGAGATGGCCTCTTGCAAAGGGAGGCTAAATGGTCGTCAATATTTATCGTTCCTCTTTCTGAGGTTGACAAGGAATGTTATCGGTGACCGTCTTGTTGCCACTGTACTTAGTCCAAGTTGGAAATCTTTTGTCTGCCAAACTTGAAACGAAATGATTACAGAAATATAGAAAAGTATGAAAGAATTAAGAAATCTCTGTAACCTTTAATAATGCATATTATGTCAGAAAAGCGGGCAATAGTTTTTTCCGGTCATGAACTTGGTCAATAAGTTGGAGTATATCTATGATATTTGCACATGACGTTATTTTCATGACATTGTGTTCCTGGTTACTTATGATCTGCCTTGCTGTTTCAGGCAATAGAAGACTTCATGAAAGTAGAATGCAAGTGCCATGGAGTTTCCGGATCCTGTGAAACCAAAACGTGCTGGAAAGCGATGCCATCTTTCCGCGAAGTAGGACGCATTCTGAAGGAGAAGTTCGACGGTGCCACAGAGGTTCGCCATATGGTGACGGGGACAAGGGGTGACCTCGTGCCCCTCAACGACCAGTTCAAACCACACACAGAAGCGGATCTGGTGTACATGGCCGGGTCGCCGGACTTTTGTGAGCCTGACAAAAGGACTGGGTCGCTTGGAACCCACGGGAGAATTTGCAACAAGACCTCAAAAGCAATAGACGGTTGTGAGCTGATGTGCTGTGGGCGAGGTTATACCACCATTAAAAAGACCATTGTTGAACGGTGCATGTGCAAATTTCATTGGTGCTGTTATGTGAAATGTAAAAAATGTGAGCGAGATGTGGACGTGCACATATGTAACTGAGTTGAAGGTCAGAACCACCGTTAAGGTCAAGGTCAACTAAGACATCAAGGTCAAGGTAGATTTGGACACTTCAAGACACCAACAGACATATTGAGAGCAACAATATCATACTTATGCTCGAAACTGAAATGGACAGTTATATCTGTCGGTTGTGGTGTTGATGCAACTGATATTGTACATCGACTTGCAATGAGGTAGACTTTACGCTGTACCAATTCTCAAGCCAGGAAACCACAAGACTGACTAGAAGTCACCTTGTCCTGGACGTCAATATCTAGAACGACCAGTAGCTGTGTTTGCACCGGAAGTAATATTTATCGCTGTCTGGGAAAGATGCACGTGCATTGATGGACGTAATATATACGACTTACGCATCAACCCAATGTTGGGGTCAAAGACATTGAAAAGTAAGGCGTTGCCAGACGTGTGTACAAAGTTGCAATATGATATGTAAATTAGACGTCATGCTTTATTTATTTATACGAATTGTTGTATGTATATTTTAGAGATTTAGGCAATCCACAGGTGTCGTGTTGAACACTGTAATAGAATGCTCATTCACCCAAGCGTATAAACTTGAATCGAATTTAACCACATGAAGATATCAGATTGTAGATATCGACCGGGCTGGTGCAAATGTTTTTAGAATCTTCTTCACTATGTGCTTGTGTCTGGAAGCATTGTTGAAGCCAAATCCCTCCCTCGCCGAGATAGCCCGGCAACCGCACCCATCCATCAATCATCTGTGTACGTACCTCCGGGGTAACCCTAGGTAAGCTTCCTCCTTCATCCATGGTAATATATACTGCCCATCCTCCAGTGTCCCCGCTCCCCATCCCGCCCCTGACAGCATCCCCACCTTACCCTGGTAATATATACTGCCAATCCTACTACACCCGGGTCCCCATCCCGCCCCTGACAGCAGCCCCACCTGACCCTGGTAATATATACTGCCCATCCTACTACACCCGGGCCCCCATCACGCCCCAGACAACAGCCCCACCTTACCCTGGTAATATATACTGCCCATCCTACTACACCCGGGTCCCCATCACGCCCCGGACAACATCCCCACCTAACCCATGTCCAATAACTTCCCAACACCTATACTTGAAGTCCTACATAAATATATGTATCTCTACTACTATACCTGTCCATCTACTTTTAACAAAATCTTAACTGCCCCATCCCACCCCCATCCATCATTATCTGGCGATCCCTAGAATTCCCCCGTGCTGAAATCCTATAGATTATAAACATTGTTCAAGAATGAACTTGGTGTAGATATCATTTTATGACCTCAAATGTGATATCAGTTTCATAGCACGTGATCTTTATGTGTTTGACCAAGATGAAGTGTGTTTGACGTGCATCCTAATCACACATCATATAGCTACAATGTCTTGTTTGTATTTAGGATAAAATCGGGTATGTGTTTTTATTGACAAATAGTGCTTCGTATTTATGTGTCAACTCCACGCCATTTTGTACATTCTCATGTGTTGTCCATCTGTAGTATTAAATATACATCCAGAATTTACAACATGCTCCGTGAACCTGGCCGATCATGTCAATATATAAATCGATTTTCATATTTATAGTAATTCCAATCATAATGCGAAAGAATAGGATCATGACTTATGACAACATGCAAAGTATTTCAGAATTTGTAATCAGCAGCAGTGTTGCAACACAGTGGAGCGTGTTAAGTAGTGGTGTACATAATAGTATATATCAGCCACAGCTGTGTACATATGTATGTAAGTATAGACTATAGAAGGGGAATCGAAATTCTGTGTAAAATATATGTAAAATGCGAAGATTTTATAAAGCTATAAAAAGCTATTTTGTGTGTCTGTGTTTGATTGTTCCAACAACGTGCCAGCCTGATGACGTATGTCTGACAACACGTCCTTCTGTTGGCCAGAATGATTGATAGAAAACTACTCGTCACTCAAATTGTGGTTTTCGGTCAGTGGTCATACTGTTGATGTAAATAGTTACGTTATGGAATCATTGCTAGAGATGGTGAGTCACAAACACGAACCATGAGTCGACAGTCGAGAACGTTATGCATGACAGAGCTTTGTAACAATTGGTTCATTGACAAATATAATCATCTCCGTGATGTCTGTCATCTCATGAAGGACAGCAGATTTGTCTGTGATGGTAGAGTTGTCTGTGACAGTCGAGTTGCCTGTGATAGCAGGATTGTCTGTGACAATAGAGCTTTGTGTGACAGTACAGTTGTCCATGACAGTATAATTGTCTGTGACAGTATTGTTGTCTGTGACAGTATTGATGTCTGTGACAGTACAGTTGTCCGTGACAGTATAGTTGTCCATGACAGTATAATTGTCTGTGACAGTATTGTTGTCTGTGACAGTATTGATGTCTGTGACAGTACAGTTGTCCGTGACAGTATAATTGTCTGTGACAGTATTGATGTCTGTGACAGTACAATTGTCCGTGACAGTATAATTGTCTGTGACAGTATTGTTGTCTGTGACAGTATTGATGTCTGTGACAGTATTGATGTCTGTTACAGTACAGTTGTCCGTGACAGTATAATTGTCTGTGACAGTATTGATGTCTGCGACAGTATTGATGTCTGTGACAGTACTGTTGTCTGTGACAGTATTGATGTCTGTGACAGTACAGTTGTCCGTGACAGTATAATTGTCTGTGACAGTATTGTTGTCTGTGACAGTATTGATGTTTGTGACAGTATTGATGTCTGTGAAAGTACTGTTGTCTGTGACAGTATTGATGTCTGTGACAGTACAGCTGTCCGTGACAGTACAATTGTCTGTGACAGCATTGTTGTCTGTGACAGTATTGATGTCTGTGATAGTATTGTTGTCTGTGACAGTATAATTGCCTGTGACAGTATAATTGTCTGTGACAGTATTGTTGTCTGTGACAGTATTGATGTTTGTGACAGTATTGATGTCTGTGACAGTATTGTTGTCTGTGACAGTACTGTTGTCTGTGACAGTATAATTGTCTGTGACAGCATTGTTGTCTGTGACAGTATTGATGTCTGTGACAGTACAGTTGTCCTGTGACAGTAGTATTGATTGTTACAGTACAGTTGTCCTTGACAGTATAATTGCCTGTGACAGCATTGTTGTCTGTGACAGTACTGTTGTCTGTGACAGTATTGATGTCTGTGATAGTATTGTTGTCTGTGACAGTATAATTGCCTGTGACAGTATAATTGTCTGTGGCAGTATAATTGTCTGTGATAGTATAATTGTCTGTGACAGTATTGTTGTCTGTGACAGTATTGTTGTCTGTGACAGTATTGTTGTCTGTGACAGTACTGTTGTCTGTGACACTATAATTGTCTGTGACGGTATTGTTGTCTGTGACAGTATAATTGTCTCTGACAGTATTGTTGTCTGTGGCAGTACTGTTGTCTGTGACAAATGTAAAGAAGAATTATTTCAAATGTCTGCAACAAAACATCACGAAAAAGAGATATTGCATAACAGTCGTCATGGCAACTTGCGCCAAAACAGCCCCATAAAACAAGTCCAGAAGGTGAATTGAGACATAGAGCATATCGGAGATGAGTCCGTAACAAACATGCAAAGCACGCGAATTACATGTGTGTGGGTCCATGAAGCTAGGTGTCTACACACAGTGACCTGAGGATATGCTGGAGGAAAACATCTTCCGAAGAACACTATGTCTCAGGACACACTGCATATAAACAACATACTCTTTAATCGTGAGCGTCCACAGACACACAGAGAAAGGGGGGATATGTTTTCCTCATCAAGTCAAATATCCGGTTGTATGTAATCACAACACACAAGGAGAATAGCTCTCATATAACCAAGTATTGACAAATGTGAAACAGATAATGTCCCTCCTGGCCCTCCAAAGATGGGGTGGGCTGGGGGCTGGGTGTGTGTGGGTTTCGACCCTCCACCCTTTGAAAATAACTAAAGAACCCCCTTTGAAAATACTGGATCCGCCTATGGACTGCGATATGGTCCCTGACTTATTTATCGAACCTTTTTTTCTTTGGTGTTCAATGCTGGCATCTCAAAGATTGATTTATGTGTCGTTTATTTATATTGTTAGACCGGATTATTTTCAGGAAACATCATCTGAATATATATGTACAGGCTACTATCTACCAAAACAGGTCACGGCAAGACACATTTTATCTGTTGTAGTGAAAATACAGGAAACGCTTTGTATGTAATGTAAGTGCCGCAGATACGGTCATACATTATATATCTATGTATATACATATATGTCGAGTCCAGCTGTCCATGTAATATTCCCTTGAGGATAAGGACAGGCCATGTGTGTGTCACATATGCCCCCACCCTTATTGTTGTCATATCACCACATAGCTCGAGGCTCTTCATGTCGGGTTCACCCACCAAAAAGGCCAGGGGAGACATTATTTTATAAACAAAAACATGATGCTGATATCTCACCTCAAATGCCACATGACCTCATCTCATCATACAATTTGCTGTTGTTAGTGCCACGAGAGGTATACAATGTACAATACATTTTACCCCACTCTTTCTAAAATGCAAATTTTCAGATTCGATTTTCTGGTTGTAAATATTAAAGGCCATCATAACGGCGACACGTTAGCCATGTGTTAAGTAATTGCGTTGTCAATCTCATCCAGTTCGGGATCAGAGGTCACCGAAATCGGGTCGATAGTCTGTCAAGGGGAATTACCGGGCATGTGACAAGGTGCTACTTACCAAAAGACTAGTTCGGAGTTTGCGAACCTTTCGCGACACTGCGCATTAATCAAAATTTTATCGTGTCAAAGGGCTTCAACTAAAGGCACCTGTTCTTTAATTTGGAGAAATTGCATGGATATTATATCATATTTGGAGCACGGCGAAAACATAAAAGGCTTGAAATGTTAAAAGGTTTTACATGTTGTTGAACTTGGGGTGTGTGCATGTGAAACTGTGGCAGTACATGATAATGGGTTGGCAGTTTTTCAAAGTGAAGTCACGCAGATGTCACTGCTGTTGTTGTCGTGGTTGTGTATATAGAGTCGCAGTAGTGTTTGAAACAGTAGTTGTAGGATAATCGTTTTTAATAATGTCGTTGCGACATTTACAACAGACGTTGTGCCAGTAGCAGTTGTTGATGCAGTTGTAACGACATTTTTCATATTACACTGGGGGAAAAATAGATGCATAAGCTGTATAGTATATATTGTTTAACTTGTATGCTAATAATAGCTATGGTGATCTTTATCAAGGCCTTATGTGCGAGTGTGTGAGTGAGTGAGTGAGTGAGTATGGTTTTACGCCGCTTTTAGCAATATTACAATGAGGAACACCAGAAATGGGCTTCACACACTGTACCCATGTGTGGAATCGAACCCAGGTTTTCGGCGTGGTGAGCGCTTAAACCACTAGGCTAACACCACCACACACACTGCCACTCCCCCCCCCCCCCCCCATGTGTGACCAATCCACCACGTTACGTGTATGCCATGGACCTGCCCAATGATGTGTACTACGTGATCAGCTGTATCAGCTGTAGTTACATGCAGCTTCAGCTGTATCAGCCGTCGATACATGCAGCTTCAGCTGTATCAGCCATAGTTGCATGCAGCTTCAGCTGTATCAGCCGTCGATACATGCAGCTTCAGCTGTATCAGCCGTCGATACATGCAGCTTCAGCTGTATCAGCCGTCGATACATGCAGCTTCAGCTGTATCAGCCATAGTTGCATGCAGCTTCAGCTGTATCAGCCAGAAGCTGCATCAGCCATAGTTACATGCAGCTTCAGCTGTATCAGCTGTAGTTACATGCAGCTTCAGCTGTAAAAGATGTAGTAGCAATTACCTGCTGTCGAGCTGTATATAAGCAGCAGTTAGTGTGCACGAGCAGCAGTTTTATTAGTTCGCCCTGGGTTACAATAGTTCCATGTTACCTCAGCTGTAGTACCTGAAGTAGTTATGGTGTAAAACATAATCGTTAAACATACGCTAACATCAAGTGAAAGTGCAACGATAGAAATCCGTTAAGACGCATGTACGCTGCGATATGTTACTGCGGACTACTGAATTAACGACGTTTAGGCTCCAAACTCCAAACGTCACGCCGAAGACCCGGGTTCGATATTCCCAAAATGGGTACAATGTGTGAAGCCGATTTGTGGTGTTACCGCCGTGATATTGCTGGAATATTGCTAAAAGCGACGTAAAACTAAACTCACTCACTCCAAACTCCAAAGCATTGTGGGATACTGTCATCCATGCCGCCCTCATCTGACGGTAATTTGTACATATACGATGTCTTGAGTATGCAGATAAAGAGGTCACTTGTTTCCTGTTTACTGTTCCTACTGTTTTTTCATTCTTGACAAATGGAGTAGCATGTATTTGTAAGAACGTAATTCCACGACCTATGTTTTGCGGCAGTGTGTCAGATATTGTCGTTTATGCAGAAATATACCAAATTTGGTATTTCCATATATCACGTTGTCATAGGCTTAACATCAACATTAGCCAATCAGGTTCAAGTCAAGTGTGTATGTGCATCATGTGTACAGGCAAAGCTTTTGTGAAATTAAATTCTCTTCTGTTGATGAGCTCTTGAAATATTTGCGACAGCAACCAGATAGAAGGAATCCCATTGTTTTTCCATTTAAATCATGAGGTACCAAAAGTTCGAAATGAATCAACATTCAAATAGGCAGAAAACATCAAATGAATCAGAAATATCAGATTCAGTTCTTGAAGCAAGTAACACACATAGGAATACTGATGAAAGACAGAAATTATGTCTTCACAAACAAACTCCAGGAGACATTATTCTTGGAATAAGTAAACAAATAGATTGCAACACAAAACTATCCAACACAAGACTACCCAACACAAGACTATCAACACAAAACTACCCAACACACGGCTATCCAACACAAGACTATCAACACAAGACTACCCAACACAAGACTATCCAACACAAGACTATCCAACACAAGACTACCCAACACAAGACTATCAACACACGACAATCCACCACAAGACTACCCATCACACGACTACCCAACACAAGACTATCCAACACAAGACTAACCAACACAATACTACCCAAATCCACCACAAGACTACCCATCAACACATCCACTACCCAACACAAGACTATATCCAACACAAGACTACTCACGACAATCCACAACAAGACTACCCATCACACGACTATCCAACACAAGACTACAACACACTATCCAACACAAGACTATCAACACAAGACTACAACACAAGACTATCCAACACAAGACTACCCAACACAAGACAATCCACCACAAGACAACATCAAGACTATCCAACACAAGACTATCAACACAAGACTACCCAACACAAGACTACCCAACACAAGACTATCCAACACAAGACACCCAACACAAGACTACAACACAAGACTATCCAACACACGACAATCCACCACAAGACTACCCACTATCCACAAGACACATCAACACAAGACTACCCAACACAAGACTATCAACACAAGAATATCCAACACAAGACTACCCAACACAAGAATATCCAACACAAGACTATCCAACACAAGACAAGACTACCAACATCGACTATCCAACACAAGACTATCCAACACAAGACTACCCAACTATCAACACAAGACTACCCAAACACAATACTATCCAACACAAGACTACCCAACACAAGACTATCAACACAAGACTACCGAACACAAGACTATCCAACACAAGACTACCCAACACAAGACTATCAACACACGACAATCCACCACAAGACTACCCATCACACGACTACCCAACACAAGACTATCCAACACAAGACTACCGTAGACTATCAACACAAGACTACCCAACACAAGAATATCAACACAAGACTATCAACACAAAACTACCCAACACACGGCTATCCAACACAAGACTATCAACACAAGACTACCCAACACAAGACTATCCAACACAAGACTATCCAACACAAGACTACCCAACACAAGACTACCCAACACACGACTATCCAACACAAGACTATCAACACAAGACTACCCAACACAAGACTATCCAACACAAGACTATCCAACACACGACAATCCACCACAAGACTACCCATCACACGACTATCCAACACAAGACTACCCAACACAAGACTACCCAAGACTATCAACACAAGACTACCCAACACAAGACTATCCAACACACGACAATCCAACACAAGACTACCCAACACAAGACTACTATCACACGGCTATCCAACACAAGACTATCAACACAAGACTACCCAACACAAGACTATCCACCACAAGACTATCCAACACACGACAATCCACCACAAGACTACCCATCACACGACTATCCAACACAAGACTACCCAACACAAGACTATCAACACAAGACTACCCAACACAAGACTATCAACACAAGAATATCCAACACAAGACTACCCAACACAAGAATATCAACACAAGACTATCCAACACAAGACTATCCAACACAAGACTACCCATCACACGACTATCAACACAAGACTACCCAACACAAGACTATCAACACAAGACTACCCAACACAAGACTATCAACACAAGACTATCAACACAAAACTACCCAACACACGGCTATCCAACACAAGACTATCAACACAAGACTACCCAACACAAGACTATCCAACACAAGACTATCCAACACAAGACTACCCAACACAAGACTATCCAACACACGACAATCCACCACAAGACTATCCAACACACGACTAACCAAAGATGAGAGACGGTGCAGACACCGAACGTACGAACATTCTGCTTGATATCAACTTAAGTTGTTTTTGTTGGTTCTTGTTGGGAGACCTTTTTTTGGTACGTCAGTCATAATGGTAACGTATCAATCTCAATGTCAATAGAGAGAGTCAGCTACACAAACACAACCTCCCTACCTAATTATCTCAATTGCTGGCAATGATTCATTTCAGATGAAAGCAGTGAAGTTGACTATCTTGCACCGACTCCCATGTCAAGCACGCAGCCCAACCGCTGACGGCCAACGCCATTGTTTCCATGCGATTCATATTAATTTTCCCTCTCGACTTAATTGTTCAGATACTGTTTCCTTTAAGAAGAAGATAAGTCTGTGATGTGTGACACAAACCGGATATAGGAAACTGTAGATGGTTTCTAATATACATTTGTTTTATTTCTTAGGCAGCATTTAAAAAGTCTGGAACACACAGCAGTCCGCGGCAGTGCTACAACACGGATGTGAATCAGAGGTTGGTCCACGTTTCCGCAGGGATGGTAGCTAGTACGTTACATCGTGACATGGGGTGGTCCATTTCTCGACAGGAGGGGTGTCCAGTGACTGAAATAATGAACACTTCTTTCGGTAACGAGCAGAAGAATCTGCCTTTCGCCTGCATCAAAAGCGTAAATGTATTTTACAGCATACAGCCTTGAATAAATAGCGAGCAATATGCGGATATCAGTCTTTATAACATAAGTCAGTATACATGGGACTGAGTCTTAATCATTTTATCAGTTCCGTTTAGAAAACACGTTAAATATGTGTGGTCATACTCCCCACGGAAGACAAATACAAAACAGACCTTTCCAGTACATCGAGAGAATAAATCTAGCCGGTTTCATGTACGAGATAGTGCTTTGAAATGGCTGTCGAAGTTCCAGGATGGGCGTGTAGGTTTCGACTTTGTGTAACAGGAGAAATATAGCACATGTCGGGGACCCAGATAAGTGCTACAGAATTGATAGATTAGCAAATTATCAGTGTTGCTGTAAAGCGGAAACCCTATGTGGGCCTTACGTAATTACTCAGGCCATATACACAGCGCATGCGCGAATTCTTTGAAGATATCTATGGTGAATACAATTATCTGTAGCCGATTGTAGATGAGCAGAATCTAGCGCACGCTTTCATAATCCTCGCCGTATTTACTTTACGTACATTGCAACATTTTCCTTGTACAGAGGGAATCGTACAAGGGTAGTACAGCAATGGGCCCAGTAGGTGTCACAGTTCAGTGACGTACTTTATTTACTAATAAATGCTCTGTTTGTTGGATCTATACAAATGTTGAATTAAAGGAATAGCTGAAGGAGTCAGACCAGAATATTGCATTACCGTCGGAGCTTTCGAGACACATATTTTTACATGTGACAATACTTTATAAATTAATAGTGTTCAGTGTGAAACCTCGCTTTCATCTCTCTCGGTCCCCCGACGATATATTGCTGGGACATTGCTAAAAGCGGCGTAAAACCTAACTCACGCACTCACTCACTCTCTCTCAAAGACAATCAGCGGGCTTTATTGTCTATAACACAATGCGACCAGAGACCATATAATAAATTTAATTATATGGTCTCTGATGCGACAAAGACGTTACAGACTTGTGATATATCTGTTAAATGAGAAGTTGGAGTCATAATGTGGAACGTCTAACATTCAATGTATAATGATTGTCAAGAAGTCACCGTCAACCACCAGGGGAGACAACACTGGGGTTATGCTCATCTTTCAGACTCTCTAGACATTTCAGAAAGAGTGATCTCAAATATAACATGTGTTACATTTGACCACTTCCTAATAGACACTGTGCATCCATAGCTTCGGCCACGGGTGCCGTGCCAATTTATACTCTTCAGACTGGTATACAAAGTATGTGATCCAGACAACTGGCAGTCAGACTTCCATTTCTTTGTGGGAGACGCGAGAGAATGGGTTCGAATCCAGAATGGGACTCAACCAATATAACATGTTTAACTGTCAGAGCTGGTCAGCGGCTTGTTAGGTGACACAGCAAACCGGGACCGATGAAAGAAACCAGCCATGTCGTCCCGACATTCTGGTCTGTATTTCACAGCGTCTGGAACAAGTACTCATTGACTTCGCTGTTGGCAAGATTCTTAAAACCGAAAATAAGGACAGCAATTTGGACATTTTACAAACGTTTCAAAGATAAACAGTGTCTGTTACTTCTGTCGACTCTAAATAAGGAGTACAGAGAGGCTGAAAACGTACAGGAACAGATATATATAAATCAGGCATTTTTTAAAGGTATTAATTGCTGACTATTAACAGATATAATAATGTCACTTTATTGATGCTAATACCGTATGCTTATACCACGTCTACCGCCCTCACGTAAAAACCTGTTATGAGAGGAATGGAGTCCTCTCTACAGACGGAGCATAGCAGAGGTAACACCTGTGCCTGAAAAACTGACATATCATCTCGCCATCTTGTCGATCTCGCGCGAGATAACGAGAAGACGTCAGTATCGGTGTATCAGCGTAGAAAACAGACATTATATACTGTTTACTCTCCGCAGAACAAGTTTACGTCCTTCGGGCTCGGAGAGTATGTTGTGAATAGTCTACTCTCAAAGCAAAGTGTTTGATATAGTAACAATGACAATTTTCGGCAAGATGGTAGTCGTACCGATAAGATCAAGTTTCAGTGCCTCATAAAATGACGTCTTCAAAACGACTGATTTTTTAAGATTACACTGATAAAATTTTACTGTCATGCATTTAAGTATATGTAATGTCAATAATTCTGCAATTTGTTATACCGTCAGGTTCTCGTCAAAAGTTAAAAACGAGCTGTAAATCATTTACTGAATAATGCAACACGTCTGTGATGAACCTGCAGAGAAGTAAGAAAGTGTTTCAAGTGAAAGTTAGCCAAGTTAAAAAATATATAACCAACTGTACTTGTGAGACGCGTTGTGAGTGTAGCGAACCACGGGTAATACTAAGCTACAAAACATCCTGTTTGCAGATACAAATTCCACAGCTTCCAATAAAAGATGTCTACCTTATCAAGCAGACAATTTTATTGTTTCTATCGTCTGGGAAAAGGGGGTTAAGTCAACACTTTCTAACAACACCCGTCTTTAATGTTAGGAGTTGCCAGGGGGTTTGGCAGGGTTCACGTTCATCAGCTTGCCTGTTGACTAATTGGAAGAAGGGATGTGGAAGTGAAAGTAAACAACACATGGACGACAGCACAACACATGGACGACACCACAACACCTGGACGACAACACAAAACCTGGACGACAGCACAACATCTGGACGACAGCACAACACCTGGACGACAGCACAACACATGGACGACAGCACAACACATGGACGACAACACAAAACCTGGACGACAGCACAACACCTGGACGACAGCACAACACCTGGACGACAACACAACACCTGGACGACAGCACAACACATGGACGACAGCACAACACCTGGACGACAACACAACACATGGACGACAGCACAACAACACAGCTGGACGACAGCACAACACATGGACGACAGCACAACACCTGGACGACAGCACAACACATGGACGACAACACAACACCTGGACGACAGCACAACACATGGACGACAGCACAAAACCTGGACGACAGCACAACACATGGACGACAACACAAAACCTGGACGACTGGACGACAGCGACAACACCTGGACGACAACACAACACCTGGACGACAACACAACACACAACACCTGGACGACAGCACAACACCTGGACGACAGCACAACACCTGGACGACAGCACAACACCTGGACGACAACAACACCTGGACAACAACACCTGGACGACAACACAACACCTGGACGACAGCACAACACCTGGACGACAGCACAACACCTGGACGACAGCACAACACACGACAACACACAACACCTGGACGACACCATAACACACGACAGCACAAACCTGGACGACACCACAACACCTGGACGACAGCACAACACCTGGACGACAACACAACACCTGGACGACAGCACAACACCTGGACGACAACACAACACCTGGACGACAACCTGGACACACAACACCTGGACGACAACACATGGACACAACACCTGGACGACAGCACAACACCTGGACGACAACACAACACCTGGACGACAAACACAACACAACACAACACACAACACCTGGACGACACCACGACAGCACCTGGACGACACCACAACACCTGGACGACAGCACAACACATGGACGACAGCACAACACCTGGACGACAGCACAACACCACAACACACCTGGACGACACACACAGCACACCTGGACGACACCACAACACCTGGACGACAGCACAACACCTGGACGACAACACAACACCTGGACGACAACACAACACCTGGACGACAGCACAACACCTGGACGACAGCACAACATATGGACGACAACACAACAGCCTGGACGACACGACAACACAACACAACACAACACCTGGACGACACATGGACACAACACCTGGACGACAGCACAACACCTGGACGACAGCACAACACCTGGACGACAACACAACACCTGGACGACAGCACAACACATGGACGACAACACAACACCTGGACGACAGCACAACACCTGGGACGACAAACACAACACATGGACGACACAACACAACAACACAACACCTGGACGACAGCACAACACATGGACGACAACACAACACCTGGACGACAACACAACACCTGGACGACAGCACAACACACCTGGACGACAACACAACACCTGGACGACAGCACAACACCTGGACGACAGCCTGGACGACACCACAACACCACCACGACAGCACAACACCTGGACGACAACACAACACCTGGACGACAGCACAACACCTGGACGACAGCACAACACATGGACGACAACACAACACCAGGACGACAGCACAACACCTGGACGACAACACAACACCTGGACGACAACACAACACCTGACGACAACACAACACCTGGACGACAGCACAACACAACGACCACAACACCTGGACGACAGCACAACAACACCTGACGACAGCACAACACCTGGACGACAGCACAACACCTGGACGACAGCACAAAACGACAGCACAGCAAACACATGGACGACACACAACACCTGGACGACAGCACAACACCTGGACGACAACACAACACACCTGGACGACAGCACAACACCTGGACGACAAACCTGCACAACACCTGGACGACAACACAACACCTGGACGACAACACAACACATGGACGACAACACAACACATGGACGACAGCACAACAACACTGGACGACAACACAACACCTGGACGACACCACAACAACCTGGACGACAGCACAACACCTGGACGACAGCACAACACCATGGACGACACACAACACATGGACGACAACACAACACCTGGACGACACGACAACACAACACCTGGACGACAGCAACACATGGACGACAACACAACACCTGGACGACAGCTGGACGACAACACAACACCTGGACGACACACACAACACCTGGACGACAGCACAACACCTGGACGACAACACAACACCTGGAACACAACACTGGACGACAACACAACACCTGGACGACAACACAAAACCTGGACGACAGCACAACACCTGGACGACAGCACAACACCTGGACGACAGCACAACACCTGGACGACAACACAACACCTGGACGACAGCACAACACCTGGACGACAACACAACACCTGGACGACACACAACACATGGACGACACCACAAAACCTGGACGACAACACAACACCTGGACGACAGCACAACACATGGACGACAGCACAACACCTGGACGACACCTGGACGACACAACACCTGGACGACAACACAACACCTGGACGACAACACAACACCTGGACGACAGCACAACACCTGGACGACAACACAACACCTGGACGACAGCACAACACCTGGACGACAGCACAACACCTGGA